TATCAGCATCTTGATCCATCAAGGTATTACAATATTGTATGACTGAAGGAAAACACTGGTATGCTATGTCAGAGCATGGAATTACAATTACACTATGCTTAATAGGTGGCTTCATACTCCTTACGTCTCAAAATCTCTTAATTTTCAAATGGGAGTATATCATTTTCGTGAGCGGGATTTGGCGGGACAATTACCCTTTGCATTCGTTCGACTTCACTTCTTAAAAGAGAGTTCTGTCTTCCGTGTAGTTTAACTAGACTCTGCACGCAGGGTACGGGACAATACGATTTTCTTTCAAAATCAAAAATATTCCAAGGTGTTATTCATCGGGAAGTAGTATCATGGGATAAATTTAGATATATCATTGCATCCCACGACCGGTTTGATTATCAATACGCAATCAGTCTGGTACTGGTCAAGCAGTAATAAATAACAGACGCTAATAAGACACAGGATGCAATCAGGTTAATTATCGTCTTTTATTGTCTTAAGTCTCAGCCTACCTTGTAAGATAATCATTCCCGTTTGATCTTGTTTGAATCGAAATTAAACGGAGGAGGGGGGGGGTGAACATTTAAATCTTAATTTTATTCCTTACAATAGTTAAGAAAACAAACAAAAGACCATTCACTAATCCATCAATTTCCGTGCTCTGCGGATGTTTTGCTACTTTGATTACAGAAAAGTCTAAACATCATCCAGGACTCTGATTGCAGCAGAAGTCGTCTAGGACTCTGATTATAGAAAATATCGTCTTAGCCTTTGATTACAGAGATCGTCTAGGTTTTCATCTTTAGACCCACCTTGTGGATTGAATGTATCATGATCACCTCCAGAGTGATGGGGGCAGGGGGTCCACATTAAACAACATTGGTCATCACTTAAGTTAAAAAAAGCTCAGAATGATGAAAAACTGCACGATTTTAAATAAATTTTGGAGAGAGGCGTTCTTGAACCCCCCCTTCTCTGACTAGGGGTCTGACTTTGTCAAATGTCATGGAGGTCGCAACTATATTCATAAATTAAATAACTTCCCCACATTTTTACGTCTTTGCCTCTCTATGTTTGATTTTTATTTTCTTATCCTTCAGGAAAAAAACTAAAAATAGAAGGACATGTGATTTGATCGTATAAAAAAGTTTTAAATTATTTTTGAAAAACCTCTACCACAGAAATAACACCGGAGGAGATGGAAATGACTTTGAAGCCTTACAAATTAATGTTTCAAAAGTAGACAAGCGTTTGCGTGTATACTTCGCGTGGCTAAAGTTCTAAACTAACTGTCAAAACAAAACAAAGAATGCAATTTTATTGGCGATCATGCCCATGCTCTCTTCGAGAGCTTTACCATACTTAAGTCAATTATCAGCAAACTTTATGAATTAAAATCAATTGTAGGCTATATGGAATTCCTTGTAAGCTAACTCCTGTTAAAGATTAGTATAAACAAAACACATAGATAGAACAAAAAGTCCTTTGAAAAGTATATCAAAATGAAAAATGGATTAATAAATATTTCAAACATATAAATCCGCTTATTAAGGAATAACAATTAACACAACTGGAAAAAATGTTCATGCCTTATAATCAGCCATCTCGATGCAGATAAAACCGTCTAGATAGAACAAGTAACAATAACGAAAACAATTAGCAGATCCATGCCAATTAATTAATTATCGGACTTTGGATTTTTCTAAGTTTATACTCGCTTCAACAACTGCGCACCCCTCTCTTGTCAGTAAACACAGGTCGGAAGAAATCATCATGAGATTTTGACATTGTACTTGAGGCAATTTTCATAAACTATAACATAAAGACCGGCGTGTTATAATCTTGACGATTCATTTAACCTGCCATATATTGCCCGTGTTGTCGTAATTTTCAAATTTGATAAACAATTTTCGAAACCGTATTTTTAGATGTACTTTTTCATGTAGATTTCAAATTATGACATCACTTTGACTGAATTTTGAATATTTAATGACGTAAATCAAGATTATTTCTACTCGCATCTAGTCTATTTCAAGGGGAATCTGTGAAACAGAATACAAATATTGTACGATATATTAAGAACGGAATGATAAAGTATGTAAAATTCCTGCTGAATATACAGTATGCATGTATGAATCTGGGAAATCTCTCGGTGTATCGAATGTTGCGACGATCGGAACATTCACTGGTTTAATCTCCCGACGTGATATACAGCAAGTACTCCCGGGCAAGTACAATCCTTTGGAATACCAAAGCGTTAGATAAAGTGAGACTCTAATAGATCAGAATGTCCCGACACGGAAATCAGAATGACAGAAATATAATTTTGAATAATTTTGGGAGGTAGGGAATCGCACAATTTTGTAATTCCAATGCTGCCCTTTGTGTTTTATCAACGTTTTACAACGATGCAAACAAAACAGATCGTATTTAAATCTTATTCTAATTTTAATTCCTACATGAAATCTCAGCCCCCCCCCCCCCCCAAACACTGGTAACATTTTAAAGACTTTATCTAATTCAAACAATCAAATCAAATCAAAATTAAAACATGCAAACAGGTACGTATATCTACTTATGGAGCAATATCCGAGGAAATGTGTGACGCTGGTTTTCAGTCCTTAATCGCCGCTTAATACCTGAAAAGCAACTTGTCTGCTTATCATAAGTTATCAAATAATTTAGCAATTAAACAGAAACAATGCATGCCAAACATTTATCTATAATTGTTATATTATGGTTATTTCATAGTTTGCACTTGTATCGAGCAACTGTGTATCGGGCTGTGTATACCCCTTTCTCAAACCCATGGGATTTAACACTTCACTTGAGGCAAGATTCATAAACTATATCTCCACGGGCTATAATTTGAAGAACGCCACTGACGGATCTGTCCCTTTTGGATGGGCCGTATTGTTCTTGTGTGTATCTTACCCACGGGAACCTACAAAACAGATATAATTGCATTGTGAAAAGGAAGTCCCGTCTCTATAAAACTTCCTAGAATAAGATTCAAGCAGTGTAAACATCCATATTTGCAAAAATAACGATAAACCACTGTCATTAAGTAGTTGTAGTACCATATTCGTATAGCTTTTGGGGAAGACGATAAAACGCAAAATATGATTGGAATATTTGCTGAAGTCTGGGATCGATGATCTGACAAAAAATTTGAAGGCGTTGATCATGACTGAGCAAAATGAAAGAGCAAAATAATAATAATTGCAATTTATGTTTATCATTTCAACTATTCCGAGTCAGAGAAAATCAAGTTCCGGGGGGGGGGGCTTGTTTAAATTTTGAATTATTAAGATCAAAATGGTAAGGTCATATTGACGAATTTCCAAAATGACAAATTATTGTGCAGTGCGTTAAATTGGAATATCTTTTGATTCTTTTCCACTGGGGTACGCTAACATCCGATCTTATATCGTACTTCAAAATTTTTGTTTGAAAACAAGATCTTTAATGTAAACATCCGCATTCCAATATATCCTGAGACTATCATAGAATAATTCTGTGAATCCCAAGCACAACCCATTACAATATCAGTCTATAAGTCAATCTGTATTACAACAAATGAATAATAATCCCGAAAACAGTTCAACTATATTTGGCTTTGACTTATTTGTTTGAGAGGGACACGAAATGTAGGAATAAAAGTCACCGACGGTCCAACTTCAACGAACAATCTACATGTACAGACTTATCTATCTAATTTAAATAATCATTTGTCCTCATCGTGATTTGCCCGTCTGATTATACAGGTTTTACTTTCAATTTAGCCTCACTCAGACACACAAATAAAATGTAAAATTATAACATCATATTATAAAAACATTATCCAACCTCGAATTAACACTAATGAACCTGATGTGATGACTTTATTACTATCTATGAGGAACCATTAAACAATTATGAACGAAATTCAGATACGTACAGTTTATTCATGAATTTGGAATATAATGTCGCAATTCATTCTAAACATCTGTTAAATATCGAATCTCTTACATTACGAATCTCTTATTAAAATACATATTCTATTTATACAATATTGTTTTTCCCGTCATCCGTGATTTCCACATGTTGATTGTATTCTATTTTATCAAATGATCGGAAAGTAATACCATGAAATGAGTAGCATTAGACATGTTAGATTATACGCCCTTGAATTACACTTATAAACACGATGTGATGATTGTTTCATTTACTTAGAGGAACGCACTAACAGATTAATCAATTATGAACGAAATCCAGATACGTACGATGTACGTACAGTTTACTAGTGAATTTGGAATATAATTTTTAGAAATGTATTTCTAAAAATCTCTCAAATATCGAATCTCTATTAAATTATATATTTTATTTGTGCAGCAGTGATTTTCCCGTCGTCGTGATTTCAAAATGTAATTATTAATGATCGGTAAGTAATAAACAATGTCTATGCACCGATCGATGCAACGAATAGCAAAATGCGCCGGTCGGAGCAACCTTCGATGCACCGACAGATTTCACCGTTGCACCGATCGGTGCATCGATCGTTTCTCCAGATGCGCCGGTCGATGCACCGGTCGGTGCACCGAATTAGATGCGCCGATGCACCGGTAGATGCACCGAACTTCTGCGCCGCGGCGCACCGGCGTGTGATGTGGTGCAAGAACTGTACTGTATGCTGTCTCATTTTGGCTCACATGGTAAGGAGCATTAGGCAGGTGTAATATTTAAATATGTCAAATATGTTCAGGTTCAAAGATAATATATGGAGAGTAAGTTTTTAATTAATGCAGGCCCATAGCCAGGATTTGCCAAGGGGGGGTTCAGTTTTCAAAATTTTCCAGGGGGGGTTCACATTTGACAATTTTGGCCCAAATATGGCTAAAATCACTTGGGAAGTGCTCAAAATGGTGAAAAACTGCATGATTTTGAAAGAATTTTGGCCCAGGGGGGGGGTTCATCCGAACCCCGCGAACCCCCCTGGCTACGGGCCTGTAATGTAATATGTCTTTTAGGTACATCTACTGATGTAAGCCGCTATGCTGGACAATATGAGCATGTCTTTGAGACCACAACTGCTGGAGTAACTATACAAGCCCCTCAGGTAATAAAGACTTAAGTGTATGTAGCAATAGCCTTGCATAGCTATGCATGTTACCTCATTGTTGTGAGGAATTGCAATTGCTAGTATGTTTATGTGTTGCTTTACCCAAAAATACACCAAAATGAAAGAAATTCAAAATAATTTTAATAAGTTGCATCAATAGACTTTAATACAAATATTTTAAGTGTATATTATTTTTTGTATTTTCAGTTAGACATCAATACAGTGGCTGCAGGTGGAGGTTCTCAACTGTTCTTTAGAGCTGGACTGTTTGTTGTAGGACCAGAGTCTGCAGGGGCACATCCAGGACCAGTGTGTTACATGAAAGGTCTGTAATTTTTTTTTTTTTTGATTATTGTTATGATCTCCATTTTTTGTGACAGTTGTTGGCAGTCAGCATTTATAACAAATTGTTTCTACTTCCAATAATCTAACAAATACTGTTGAGATCGAGACTGACTTCAATTTTTCAAATCTGACTTTAGATTTGACCTTCTCTAGGCACAAAAGGTCTTTTTCAACTTGCTTCAAATTGACCAAATACTGATGTGATCAGCTTTAAGTTATCAAAAGTTCAAATCTGACTTAAGATTTGAACTCATTATATTGTGAGCAACTAGGTGGTGACATGATAATGTCTTGTTTGTATATAATGTATGTACTCTATATGTATACACTGAGGATTATTGAGAGATAAATGACATCATTACTTAAAAATGCTAAGATGTGTGCTTTGTCAATAAGACCATCAAAATATTGTGCTTTTTAAGGAAAATGTAAGATCATCAAAATGTCTATCCCTCTAGTCAATCCTTTAAATATTGATTAATTTTGTTTTGCATCTGAACTCATTATATATAATGGTTTCCTTCAGGTGGCCCTTTGGCAGTAACTGACGCCAATCTTGTACTTGGGCGTATTTTACCTCAGTATTTTCCCAAGATATTTGGGCCTGATGAGAAACAGCCACTGGACAAGGCATCTACTGTGAGAGCCTTTGAGAAAATGAAAACAGAGGTTAGGGTGATGTTTTATATATGTAGTTTACTTGATTTTACTTCATGGCAGTTTTGAATCTAGGGTTTAGCACTCGAAAAATATGTGGTTCTTAGAGAAACGTATTTACCTTGGAATAAAACATGTATGCAAAACCTCCCAGTACATAACCCTTATACTACATGTATCTAGTATAGATATATGTATCTAGTATATCTAATACAGTGTTTGAAATATATTAGAATACTAATTAACCATTTTAAATGTGTTCATATTCACAGTGTACGCGTAAATGGAGCAGCAGAATGAAATTTTTTTTTTTTGTTCAGGTGAATGAGTTTGCATTGAGTCAACCAGATGGCGCCACCCACGGTCATATGTCCATTGAGGAGATCGCTATGGGTTTCATTCGTGTTGCTAACGAGGCCATGTGTCGACCAATCAGAGCACTTACCCAAGCTAAAGGTCACGATACGTCACGTCATGTTCTTGCATGTTTTGGCGGAGCAGGTGGTCAACATGCTTGTGCTATTGCAAGGTCATTAGGCATGAGCATGGTCTTTGTACATAAGTAAGTCCATGCTTTTCATATCAGATTTTGCAGAGCAATATCCTCTGATTTATGTTCAATCAAATATTTCATTATTTTTAACAAATTATCTTCTTGAATGGACACCCAATACATTGGATATTTTACAGATCAAGCCCTCATATCAAGCTCTCATATCATGATCCACAACTCGTAAATAGGCTGAGGTGCTCACCTTCATTGGTGGTAAACAAAATACAATACAATCATCATGTCTCGGTAATCTCTGTTTTCCAGATATGCAGGTATACTCTCAGCCTATGGAATGGCCTTAGCTGATGTTGTTCAGGAGGCCCAAGAGCCATGTGCTTCCCACTATGAACCAAGTAAGCATATTGTAGTGCATTCAGTCACGGGTTTGCTTTATTTATAAGGCACCCCCTTTATACCTGAGTATTGAAACATCTAAAAAAGACAAAATGTCAATTATTACACCCCCAATCCGCAACATCATTCTGCAGCGCTGTACAGTGCTGTACAGTGCTGTAAACAGTACTGAACAGTACAGTTCAAGCACAGTGATGTACAGTGCTATTCTAGCATCACCTGTTTTGAACAGCGCAGTTCAGTACTGTTTTATAGCACTGTATGGTACTGTTTTTCAAAACAGCGATGTACAGTACTGTTTTTACAGCGCTGTCCAGCACTGTTTCATTAACAGCGCTGTTTGATTCTGTTTGAGATTGGCAGTGTATTACTTCACCATTGAAAGGAAATGAAACATTAAATAGTACAACAATTCCATTGGAAAACAAATCCCAAGTATTTAAAACAATCTAAAAACAAAACACCCCATCCTGCACCATGTAGTCATTTTTTCTTCATTAAATGAATGTATAACCATAAACATTGTTAAGTCTAAATACTTTTCTGAAAAAGGACTTAACCCCCATTCCCTCTCCCTTTAGCTATTGCAAAGGTTTTCAAGTTGTTGGAATATTTTCCAGAGGCATTCCCTCACATAGATGACAGGCTGGATGTTCTTACTAAACAGTGTACAGAGCAATTACAAACTCAAGGATTTAAACTGTAAGTTCATATCATATAAACTGGACAGATCACTTTGGTAGATCACCTTGATAGATCACTTTGTTAGATCACTTTGTTAGATCACTTTGTTAGATCACTTTGATAGATCACCTTGATAGATCACTTTGTTAGATCACTTTGGCGGATCACCTTGATAGATCACTTTGATAGATCACTTTGTTAGATCACTTTGGCGGATCACCTTGATAGATCACTTTGTTAGATCACTTTGGCGGATCACCTTGATAGATCACTTTGTTAGATCACTTTGGTAGATCACCTTGATAGATCACTTTGTTAGATCACCTTGATAGATCACTTTGGCGGATCACCTTGATAGATCACTTTGTTAGATCACTTTGGTAGATCACCTTGATAGATCACTTTGATAGATCACTTTGGCGGATCACTTTGATAGATCACTTTGTTAGATCACTTTGGTAGATCACCTTGATAGATCACTTTGTTAGATCACCTTGATAGATCACTTTGGCGGATCACCTTGATAGATCACTTTGTTAGATCACTCTGTTAGATCACTTTGATAGATCACATTGATAGATCACTTTGATTGATCACTTTGATAGATCACTTTGTTAGATCACTTTGAAAGATCACTTTGATAGATCACTTTTTAAGAACACCTTGATAGATCACTTTGGCGGATCACCTTGATAGATCACTTTGTCAGATCACTTTGTAAGATCACTTTGATAGATCACTTTGTTAGATCACCTTGATAGATCACTTTGGCGGATCACCTTGATAGATCACTTTGTTAGATCACTTTGGTAGATCACCTTGATAGATCACTTTGATAGATCACTTTGGCGGATCACTTTGATAGATCACTTTGTTAGATCACTTTGGTAGATCACCTTGATAGATCACTTTGTCAGATCACTTTGTAAGATCACTTTGATAGATCACTTTGTTAGATCACCTTGATAGATCACTTTGGCGGATCACTTTGATAGATCACTTTGTTAGATCACTTTGATTGATCACTTTGATAGATCACTTTGTCAGATAACTTTGTAAGATCACTTTGATAGATCACTTTGTTAGATCACCTTGATAGATCACTTTGGCGGATCACCTTGATAGATCACTTTGTTAGATCACTTTGGTAGATCACCTTGATAGATCACTTTGATAGATCACTTTGGCGGATCACTTTGATAGATCACTTTGTTAGATCACTTTGGTAGATCACCTTGATAGATCACTTTGTTAGATCACCTTGATAGATCACTTTGGCGGATCACCTTGATAGATCACTTTGTTAGATCACTCTGTTAGATCACTTTGATAGATCACTTTGGCGGATCACCTTGATAGATCACTTTGTTATATCACCTTGATAGATCACTTTGGCGGATCACTTTGGTAGATCACCTTGATAGATCACTCTGTTAGATCACTTTGAAAGATCACTTTGATAGATCACTTTGTTAGATCACTTTGGTAGATCACCTTGATAGATCACTTTGTTAGATCACCTTGATAGATCACTTTGGCGGATCACCTTGATAGATCACTTTGTTAGATCACTCTGTTAGATCACTTTGATAGATCACTTTGGCGGATCACATTGATAGATCACTTTGATTGATCACTTTGATAGATCACTTTGGCGGATCACTTTGGTAGATCACCTTGATAGATCACTCTGTTAGATCACTTTGAAAGATCACTTTGATAGATCACTTTGTTAGATCACTTTGGTAGATCACCTTGATAGATCACTTTGTTAGATCACCTTGATAGATCACTTTGGCGGATCACCTTGATAGATCACTTTGTTAGATCACTCTGTTAGATCACTTTGATCGATCACATTGATAGATCACTTTGATTGATCACTTTGTTAGATCACTTTGTCAGATCACTTTGTAAGATCACCTTGATAGATCACTTTGTTAGATCACCTTGATAGATCACTTTGGCGGATCACCTTGATAGATCACTTTGTTAGATCACTCTGTTAGATCACTTTGATAGATCACATTGATAGATCACTTTGATTGATCACTTTGATAGATCACTTTGTCAGATCACTTTGTAAGATCACTTTGATAGATCACTTTGTTAGATCACTTTGATAGATCACTTTGTTAGATCACTTTGATAGATCATTTTGATAAGCCAATTTAAACAAGGAGTAGAGATAAAAGGTATGTCATAGTAATAATTAGTATTTGCAAAATTTCCTAGATTTTATGGATGCACTTAATGATATTTCATAGAAATTGAGGTTAGTCAAATTTGGGAGGGATAAATCATGATTTTCCTTGAGAAGAAGGTAAATTATTATCAAAAAATATAGTGGGAGGAAGGGGGCTAACCCACAATGGAATTAGCTTCATTTTTCCAAAAATGTAAACACTTGAATACTTATGGAATAACATCCATATTTTTGTGAAATATCTGATTTCAGAGAGGAGATTGAATGTGAAGCCTTCCTACATATGAGATACGAAGGCACGGATTGTGCTCTTATGGTATCAACTGACCCCACACAACACAAAACAACATATTCTTGTCACCATGGGAACTTCCAGCAGGCTTTCCTGGAGAGGTATCTATTTAATTTTTATTATGTCACCACCAAAAGTGGTGACATATTGTTATGGTCTCCGTTTTTTTGCGACGGCGGTTGGTGGTTGGCGTCCGGCGGTTGGCGTCTGTAACAATTTCTTACAACTTCCTATAACTTAACAAATACTGTTTAGACTGACTTCAATTTTTTTCTAAATCATCTACATGTTCTCAGAAGTTCAAATCTGACTTTAGATTTGACATTTGACCTTCAATGACCTTCTCAAGGTCAAAAAGGTCTTTTTTCAACTTGCTTCACATTGACTAAATTTTTTTTCAAAATCATCTACATGTTCTCAGAAATTCAAATCTGACTTTAGATTTGACCTTCAAATCTGACTTTAGATTTGACATTTGACCTTCAATGACCTTCTCAAGGTCAAAAAAGGTCAAAAAGGTCTGTTTTCAACTTGCTTCAAATTGACTAAATTTTTTTTTCAAAATTATCTACGTGTTCTCACAAATTCAAATCTGACTTAAGATTTGACTTAAGATTTGACATTTGACCTTCAATGACCTTCTCAAGGTCAAAAAAGGTCAAAAAGGTCTGTTTTCAACTTGCTTCAAATTGACTAAAAAAAATTTTCAAAATCATCTACGTGTTCTCAGAAATTCAAATCTGACTTTAGATTTGACTTAAGATTTGACATTTGACCTTCAATGACCTTCTCAAAGTCAAAAAAGGTCAAAAAGGTCTTTTTTCAACTTGCTTCAAATTGACTAAATTTTTTTTTCAAAATCATCTACATGTTCTCAGAAATTCAAATCTGACTTTAGATTTGACATTTGACCTTCAATGACCTTCTCAAGGTCAAAAAAGGTCAAAAAGGTCTGTTTTCAACTTGCTTCAAATTGACTAAATTTTTTTTTCAAAATCATCTACGTGTTCTCAGAAATTCAAATCTGACTTTAGATTTGACTTAAGATTTGACATTTGACCTTCAATGACCTTCTCAAAGTCAAAAAAGGTCAAAAAGGTCTTTTTTCAACTTGCTTCAAATTGACTAAATTTTTTTTTCAAAATCATCTACATGTTCTCAGAAATTCAAACTAAAAAATTTTTTCAAAATCATCTACGTGTTCTCAGAAATTCAAATCTGACTTTAGATTTGACTTAAGATTTGACATTTGACCTTCAATGACCTTCTCAAAGTCAAAAAAGGTCAAAAGGGTCTTTTTTCAACTTGCTTCAAATTGACTAAATTTTTTTTTCAAAATCATCTACATGTTCTCAGAAATTTAAATCTGACTTTAGATTTGACATTTGACCTTCAATGACCTTCTCAATGTCAAAAAAGGTCAAAAAGGTATTTTTTCATCTTGCATCAAAATGACTAAATCTTTTTTCAAAATCATATACATGTTCTCAGAAATTCAAATATGACTTTAGATTTGACATTTGACCTTCAATGACCTTCTCAAGGTCAAAAAAGGTCAAAAAGGTCTTTTTTCAACTTGCTTCAAATTGACTAATTTTTTTTTTCAAAATCATCTACATGTTCTCAGAAATTAAAATCTGACTTTATATTTGACATTTGACCTTTAATGACCTTCTCAAGGTCAAAAAAGGTCAAAAAGGTCTGTTTTCAACTTTCAAATTGACCAAATTTTTTTTTCAAAATCATCTACATCAAATTTGACTTTACAAGTTCTCAGAAATTCAAATCTGACTTAAGTTTGAACTCATAATATTGTGAGCAACTAGGTGGTGACATTTTGTCATGTTAATGCCTTGTTAACTCTTAGTATGGCATGGAATAAAGTCGAAAATTGGTCTTTTCCCTGCTGTCTGCAGATAAGAACACTTTTTCAAAATACATATAATTGGGAAATAGTACAGGCCTTTAGTCAGGAATTGCCAAGGGGTGATCACTTTTTAAAAAGAATTCCAGCGGGATCACTTTTGACAACTTTGGCCCAAAAATGGCCAAATCACTTGAAAAGTATTCAGAATGGTGAAGAACTGCATGGTTTTGAAAGGAAAGATAATAGGGCCTGGGGCTATGGGTCTGTAGTAGACAGCATCAAATTGAAAGAGTGTCTGCTAAGATTTCTTGGAGGATTTTAGAATGAAAACCCATTATTAATTGAGCTAATGAAAAGGCTGTATTGTTTGCACATAGACTGTTAAGAGTTTATGCTAGCATACAATGCAACTAGTGAATGCCATGTCATCTCATGCATCAGGCCCTTAAGAAGGAGATGTCAGTGGCAATATAGCCCATCTGAACACAAAAGTCACCGCCTCCCTTTGGAAATCCTTTGGGAGGGCAGGCCCGTAGCCAGGATTTGCCAAGGGGGGTTCAGTTTTCAAAAATTTCCAGGGTTGGTTCACATTTTACAATTTTGGCCTAAATATGGTGAAAATCACTTGAGAAGTGCTCAAAATAGTGAAAAACTGCATGATTTTGAAAGAATTTTTGGCCAGGGGGGGGGGCTACGGGCCTGAAGGGCCTGTGCTACAATCAGTTTTAGTTTTGAAATAATTACTGCAGAATTTTTGTTATGACTGTCATTGAAATAAGAATGAAAAAAGAAACTCAGAATTCAAATCTCTTTATTTCAGATACAAGACAGAGTTTGGGTTTACTATTGATGGGCGTAAAATCTGTGTGGATGACATCAGGGTACGGGGCATTGGAAAGACACATGTAGGGGTGACTAATCCACTTCCAAATGCTACCCACCCGCCTAAAGCTGAAACGGTAAATTAAATAAATTTTAGACTTACAATTTATACATTTTACAGTATAGTTAGGAAAACAGACTAAACATTCTCTAATGCAGTTATTTTGTGAAAATTTCCAAATGCCACCCATCCGCCTAAAGCTGAAACAGTAAATTAAATGGATTTTAGGGTATATTAAGACTCACAGAGTTAATAAATTAAGTTTTGAAAACAGGCGTTAAGGTTTCACTAGTGCAATTGTTGAATAGAAGCAAGTTGTGCAATGTATTCTGTGATTTTGGAAATTCAAGTTTTCCTGGGCTGACTTTTAAGAACACAAGTAGAATCAGCCAATTTGATTGAAATTGGGATTTCATATGATACAACATCACAAGAGCTTAATACATGCACAGAATTTGTGACGATAAAGTCCCATTAAATGAGGATGAATAGAAGTTATTGAAGAGTTGAAGCGACGGTCATGTCTGCCATTTGTGACAACAGTATCTGAATAAACCGGCTTTTAGACTATCTGGGATTTTTGGAATTCTTTTTTCTATTATTTTGCAATGAGTTTTGAATGACTATAATAATCTTTCAGCTATCATATGTTTTATGGTAATATTTTCAGACAGTGCAATGTTACTTTGAGGGAGGGTATCAAGCTACAGATATCTATATTCTAGGAGACCTCCAGAAGGGGCATCTTATACAGGGTCCAGCTATCATCATTGACCAGAACAGGTATGTGGAGGATGTCTTGGTGTGTGTGGGGGGGGTTGTTCCTGGTTGTTATTCTAAGGCAAATCAGTTTCTCATAATAAAACGTTTTTCAAAACTCTAAAATGGGTCTAAGTACATGTATGAAGATGTAAATGTAGAAGCAGTGTTCTCTCTAGTATTAAGCAAGTGGATGTAGCACTCACCTGAGATTTTAAAAACAGGCTTGCACCCACCTGAAAATCAATTTGCACCAACTTGAAAATGAGAAAAGTTGAGAAAAACAGACATATTTTGAATTGTGAAAATGAGAATTTTGCATCCACTAGAGTTAAAAATCCTGTTGAGAACACTGAAAAATATTTCAATAATATTTAGAAACATTCACTGAATGCTGGAATGTATTTTAAGATTTTAGAATTAAAGTACTTTCAGGTAATTACTTAAATATTATTTAAAGGAACATTTAACTTTTTTCAGTACAATCCTCATTGAACCAAACTGTGAAGCCACAATCACTGAAAGGGGAGATATCAAAATAAAGGTAAGATTAACTGTAGAAACCCAATCTCCAAATATTGTGGTAATTTCCTTCTCATGGACCACTTTAATAAGCCCTGCAACCTCATACAGTAAAACCTGTCACATCCGAACATCATTGAAACTGGCCAAAAACCAGGTTGGCAGGTCTTGTTCATATTTTGAGGTTAAAATTAAAGTCTGGCAAACTGAAAACTTGGACCAAAAGTACTCACAACTTGGACCAAAAGTACTCACAACTTGGACTCACAACTTTGACCAAAAGTACTCACAACTTGGACCAAGTACTCACATATAGAAATGTTCAGATAAGAGCTAGGCGCTTAGATTTTACTGTACTTTAGAAATACCTAGGATGTCCTGACCAGGTTGAGGTTAATAAAGCCAACAAACTTTTTCGAAAATTTACAAAAAGTTCATCCCATTTCTGCCCTGAAACTGTGAGAATGACATTGTCAAAACATTGTCAAACTAAAGATGACATTATTTACAGAATCCATCCATTTATTTTCAGATTGGTAGTGAAATTCACCATAGCATTGGCACTGAGCTAGATGCGATTCAACTCTCTATATTCTCACATAGGTTTATGAGTACTGCTGAACAAATGGGTAGAATACTCCAAAGGACTTCAATATCGACCAACATCAAGGTACATGTATCGTTTATTTCTATAGTACTCTTCTTCCAATTATTCTCAAATGAGTGAAAAATCCTCAATCTTAAATGCAGTTTGAAAATTTTTCATATTGTCATCTTGTTCTGATGGAAATGTGTCCATCCATCTGTCTTTTTATGTCCCCACCACATAGTGTGGGGCCATATTGTCGGCCTAGGCGCGTCCGTCTGTCTGTTCGTACGTCCGTCCGTCCGTCTGTCCGTACGTCCGGGAGTTTTCTCCAAAACTGCTACAGATATCACCTTCAAATTTTCAGGGATAACTTATGAGTGCATACAGATGTGGATGAAAAAATTTTAACTCGATACCTACTTCCTGTCGGCCATTTTGAAGTCAAATGCTAAAATCCTTGTCTGCAAACTTTAAGAAAAACGGCTTCACAGTTGCTTTTAAAACTTTAACATCTTGTTCAGCTCACTTCATTCTAGATCTGATTAGGTTTTGGACCTGTTAGCTCAGTCATGTCAGCCATTTTGAATGTCTTAAGAAAAGTTAGCGCACGATAATACTTTGTATCATATTGAATGGTGTTTTTGAGTTTTCATACTTTAACTATTTAATAGCTTTATAAATAATTTCAGATATACTTTGTTGTAAAAGCCTATGTTATTGTTAACAGTAGTTATATGTGATAATTTTGTAAGAAGAAATCAGCAAAAACACATAATCACTTTTTTATTGTCGGCCATTTTGGATTTTTCCATCCTAAAATCTTGTCTGTGAAGTCTTGTCTACGTGTTTTCAGGTGAACCGTTTGGTAGATCAATTTCAAATTTTCAGGGATGATTCTTAGTATGAAAATCTAGATCTGATTTGTTTTTTGGCATTCTTGGTAAATGTCAAGGCAGCCATTTTGGATTTTCCGTCCTAAAATCTTGTCTGTAAAGTCTTGTCTACGCGTTTTCAGGTGAACCGTTTGGTAGATCAATTTCAAATTTTCAGAGATGATTCTTAGTATGAAAATGTAGAACTGATTAGTTTTTTGGCATTCTGGGCAAATGTCAAGGCAGCCATTTTGGATTTTCTGTCTTAAAATCTTGCCTGTAAAGTCTTGTCTACGCGTTTTTAGGTGAACCGTTTGGTAGATCAATTTCAAATTTTCAGGGATGATTCTTAGTGTGAAAATCTACATCTGATTAGTTTTTTGGCATTCTGTGTAAATGTGATGGCAGCCATTTTGGATTTTCTGTCCTAAAATCTTGTCTGTAAAGTCTTGTCTACACGTTTTCAGGTGAACCATTTGGTAGATCAATGTCATATTTTCAGGGATTATTCTTAGTATGAAAATCTAGGAACAGATTAGTTTTTTGACATTCTGGGTAAATGTCAAGGCAGCCATCTTGGATTTTCCATCCTAAAATCTTGTCTGTAAAGTCTTGTTTACATGTTTTCTAGTTAACTGTGTGACGGATCAATTAAAAATTTTCAAGGGTGGTTCTTAGTTTGAAAATCTAGAACTGACTAAATTTTGGGCATTCTGGGTAAATTTTAAGGTGGCCATTTTGGATTTTCCGTCCTAAAATTGTGTTGGTAAAGTCTTGTCTACTCATTTTCAGGATAACCATTTGATGGGATCACCCATTGGTGGGGACATTTTGTACACATTTGTGTTCTTGTATCCAATTTTCAGGAAAATTCTTTATACTGATGCAAGAGCAGACTACAGTAGTGGCAAGATCTGATAAGGTCTCGAGGATGCTTAATAAATTACCTGATGGCCATTTTGAATTTTGGACAAAAATTGTGATATTTAACTCTATTTAAACACTATGTGTTTTGTTTACAATTCTCACCAAATTTTGGAGAGTACCAAAGATTATGAGCTTGAACACCACATTTATGTTGAGTTTATGGTATATGTAAATGCATGCAAGTTCCTCGCATAGTTCATAGAAAGGTGTGTTTCTTGTTCTTGTTTCACATGGTATTTGTATAAAGTAGTTATTATATACATAAGCATTCACTAATATATTTATCCAATTTAGGTTTTAAATTTATTTGATTTTGTGATATTTGAGTATATATCTATTTAATAAATACTTTATCAGGAACGTCTAGACTTCTCCTGCGCTTTGTTTGGACACGATGGAGGACTTGTTGCGAATGCTCCACATATTCCAGTTCATCTAGGAGCCATGCAAGAGACAGTCCAGTATCAAGTAAGATATTTTCGTTTTTTCAGGCAAGTTTTTATGGCAATTTGTATATTATATCGTTATCACTTGCATCTGTGTGGGTGCGTGGTTGACAATGGGAGCCATAAAATTATTGTCATCAATATTCATGAAAAATCTGTTCAACTTGAAATATTTGAAGCCGTTGGAACAGATTAATGCCAACATCTGATAGGGCATGCTGGGTAAAGTGTGATATCACTGCACTGCGTGTCTTGTTTTTATGTCACCCCCACATTAGTATTGTCGTGCTTAATTGATACTCCATATATGGTGACATGTTATTATAGTCTTCAACCTTTTGGCAGTCGTTGTCTGTAACAAATGGCGGGTGGTGACATTATGCATGTTAATGCCTCGTTTATTTTTCAGATGAGACAACTTGGAAATAGTCTCAAAGAGGGGGATGTCATCCTTAGTAATCATCCAATGGCTGGGGGGAGCCATCTTCCTGACCTCACAGTCATTACTCCAGTAAGTACATCAGTGTTCTCCCCAAATGAAAAATTTGAAAATTTTGAAAAAACCTGTGCCTGCTACACTAGCGATATCTCTAGGTGGGTGCTTTCTTCACTTATTTTGCAAATCAGAAGTTGGAGTGCAGGGTGCCATCTGGGGGGCCTTTGGTTTCAAGTATGACCCCCCCTGGTAAAAGTGACATGGGGAGATCGCTGTACATGTATATAGCATATATCTAGTTTGATCTCCCCAGTGATACATCAATGGGGTTGTACTTTTATCAGTCTAGGTATTGGCAGTAGTCCCACCTAATATTAGAGCACTTGCAGAAATCTGGTTACCGCCATATTTGGCAAGCAATACCTCATTGGTATATTCCGTATTTTACGTATTTTACACTCGAAGATAGAGCCAGAAACCCCTCCTTGGAGGAGCCCTGTTTTCTTTTATGTGCACAGGTACACAGACATACAGGTACACACCACAGCCTTTTATACGAGTCGTGAACCACTCAGTCAAACACCCAGAATTACATAACGCACAAACAAACTTGTCTGAACCGGGAATCGAACCCGGGGCCAAGCGATATTGGTAACCTTGACTCTCTCTGCCACTGAGCCATAGCGGGTGGACTTGAAAGATTAGGATTAAGTACCGTGATGAGAAAAAACCACTAAAAAGGGGTTTTGCTATTTGGAATGAAAATACCTTACTTTTTGCTGAGAATTTAAATGAAACATTTCTTGGTAAAATAAGAATTTGCACAGTTTAGAAAAGGTTGAGAAGACATTAGAACACTTGAGTTTCCTCATTCTTTTTCAAAACTTTTTTTATAGATTTTTAATAAAAAGAAAAGACATAGTGTTCTTTGTTACCAGTAAAGGATTGCCATGCTGATAGAAAACAACAATTGCTTTTAGGTATTTTATAAAGGAACAAAAAGCCCGGTGTTTTTTGTTGCCAGTAGGGGGCACCATGCTGATATAGGTGGCACCACTCCAGGCTCGATGCCCCCACATTCCACATCCATCCACCAAGAGGGCGCTGTTTTCAAGTCTTTCTATCTTGTCAAAGACGGGGTCTTCCAAGAGGAAGGTAAGCTTACTACCCTTTTCAATATGTTAACATACTCACTATTCCCTCTGAAAATAGGAGATAAATCATTTGAGATCATTAAGATGAGTTTCAAATCTGTGATTATTTTTTTAAAGTCAGTGGTACTAAAGAGCTAAAGCCCACAATATCTCATATTTTTTTGATATTTTTTTAATTACCCGACAATTTTCAATATCAAACCTCAGAAAAAACTTGCATTAGAGATCGTTAAGATGATCAAATCCGTATTTATTTGAATGAGCTTAATACCATTATATCACTTCAGGGTTCGTACACACCTGGAAATGTCAGGGAAATTGATTTATTTTTCCAGGTGCTGGAAATGTCAGGGAATTTTAAAATTGGGTCAAAAAAGGCCAAAAATGTCAGGGAATTTTGAAACAGTAGATGTGTCAGGGAAATGTCAGGGAATTTTGTATCATTGTTGAAAAAATAATGTTCCAGCAAAATACATTTTAAGGCGATGGCAGGATATCAATGAAATCCAAAATCTAACATTTAGTTGTTTCCACAAATTGCAAATCTAACAGTGTGAAAATTATTCTGAAACCGAACAATAAAGAATATGTATAGATGGTTCAATACAATTATGCCTTCCATGTAGTAAGTACTGTAGATTGGGTTAATTTGGCGCCCGCTTTAATTTGGCGAATTTGGCGAAATTGAAAAATTCGCCAATATAAATCTTCGCCAAAATTTAGAATGAATCCCCGGGAATCATCTAGGGTATTTCGTCCAGTGTATTTAGGTCACATCCGGTTTGGTTTTTCCAAAAATATGAATAAATGTCTCTCATAAATTGGCTCAGAACACACACGAGAACTGGTCAGTCACATGAATACTCAGGGAAAAGTAGCGGCATCGATCGAGGTGCAAAATGTAAAGGATGATCTCATAAAAATGTACAAATGTGGTGAATATCGCCAGTGGTCCTCAAAAGAAAAAATGAACATAGCCAAACATGCCCATTTACATGGTAATTCCCAAACAGCGCGTAAGTTTAACATTTTTTGCATATCCACCAAATTAAATAGCCGCCAATATGCCAAAAATGGCATAATCGCCAAATTAAGTAGCGCCAAATTAACCCAATCTACAGTAAGTCTAAGACCATTCAACATTAATTACTGGTATATGTTTCATGGTTTGTTGAGGGGTTAATCTGAGGAGGGCGGGAGGTGAAAAACAAAAAATTCTGGGAACTCTTTACAGTTTAAAATTATATTTATATTTAATTAAGAAGCTGTCTGTTCGACAGTCTGGTCATTTTCAGTCTATTCATCTATCAGGGCGATGACTCAAATATCAGTTGACAGATTTGCTTAAAATTTTATATACCAATGTTTGACACTGTACAGGGCGTATCAAAAAACGCAACAAGTAGATATCTCGTAAAATACCAAAACTAGTGATGACTACATCAATTTCATTCAATGCATCATAAAGCCATGTCTCTCCTCTTTGCAATGATATGTCATTCATTCACATTTGGTAATGGTTGGGTGAGGAATCCTTCCATTTGCACAGTGGGTCAAAATCAGCTCTGCACCAAGTTTTAGATATTGAAAAAATCAGTGCAAGGGCTGAGTGCCAATGGAAGTTCCCCTGACTTGAAATGTTGTGACTTTTTCTTTTGGAGCTATCTCGGGAGCATCTGTGCTCACAATTCCTCCACCAGATATTGCAAATGAATTGCCCCTGGGCTGCTTTTCTCTGCTTTAACCCACACATGATTCAGGGCTGAACTATGCATGATGTGGACAGATGAGCCCATCTTCATGTGCAAGGAAGTGGCGGCAATTTGAAGGGTATAGGATGTATTCTTGCAATAGCCCCTGTGCCCCTTGTACTGACTTTTGCAATGTTTAAAACTTGTGTCCGAGCTGAATTTTGCCCCATTTTGCAAAATTAATGATTATTCGGCCAGAGATGACTCCCTGTGAATGAATGATATTCCATTGCAAAGAGGACTAATTTGGTTTTTTGGTACATTGAATGAAAAGGATGCAGTCAGCATTGGTTTTATGTTTTCTTCCAATATTGCATCGGGCTCCTAACACTGACTTTAGCGATGTTTATAACTTGGCCTCAAGCTAATTTTGGCCCACTTTGCAAATGGAATGATTACTCGCCCAACCATGACCAAATTTCAATGAATGATATATCATTGTAAAGAGGAGAAACATGGCTTTATGGTGCATTGAATGAAATCAATGCTGTTATCACTGGTTTTGTGCATTTCCGAGATAACAATCTGTTGCGTTTTTTTGATACACACTGTATATAGAGCCTCTGCTCAAGAAGACACTTGACATTTTTCATATAATGTTCACAATGATCAGTATTGGATAAAATATGTTTCATTAGATGGGAATTGCCCCTCAAGGGAGTTGCTATTTTTCTAGTAGGATTTAGATGAAAATTTTGAAGTTTCAGTTTTTATTTGGATTCATTACAAAACATTAACAAATTAAAGTTTGAAATGCTTAGAATGCACCATATACAATGTCAATTTTGAAAAAATTCCCCCTTACCCCCCCTCATGGGTTTCTTTCTTTCGCAGTGTTGTAAACCCCAAAAATTGCACCCCCTTGAAACTTGCTGGCTACGCCCCTGTACATGTTTGTTTACCTTTGGCCTTATATGTAAAATTGAGAATATAATATATCAGGAATAAATTGGTGATAAGACTGTAGAAGTAAAGTTAAGTCATGAGTAGTGGTGCTAAAGGACAATCCCAAAAAGTTTCATAATAAGTCATGTCTTTTTAATTAGGCTGTGCAAGGAAAACTAGATCTGGAAATTTCCTTTTTTGCCTGGAAATGTCAGGGAATTGTCAGGGAAATTTATTTTGAAAAAGGTGTACGAACCCTGCACTTATTTTTCTGATATTTTAGCTGTGACCGCAGCGTTGAATGAACCAGGTAATATAGATGGCAGTAGTGCAACACGTAACCTCCATGATAACCTAAGTGACCTTCGTGCTCAAGTTGCAGCCAATCAAAAGGTAAGAATTATTCACTTTCCATAATCTTTACTATAGATTCAAGAGGAGGGAAAGCCCCAGAGCTTTAGAGATGTCAGACATAATTACGTCTCTTGCTTACCTTTGTTTGTTAGGGTTTTCACTGGCTAGTATCCAAATACTATATTTCGATGTGATGTTTTAATTGATGTAGGCATATCCCGTACACCTTTTTTATTTATCTTGATGTGGAATAAAAGGCTATGATATTGGTTAACACGCCAGAAATGAACATAATATTATTCGAAGCCTGTTTCAAAATTTTGTTGAAGCCGCACTTGATGACATCACTTGAGCAATGAAAATTAACAACCCTCTGTCAGTCAATCTCATTTAATGATTAACTGCAATTGAAATTTAGTCAAAATATTTCCTCGCGTCATTGAAATCTCATGTTTTTCAGGGAATTAACCTCGTGCGTGAGCTGATTGATGAATATGGACTTGATGTGGTCCAAGCATATATGACTCATATTCAGGTACATGTAAAGAAACGTTATTATGTTGAGCAATTTTAAATGTTAAAGTATTTGATTAAACCCATTGATTTCTGTGCCATCTATTGACATCCTAAAAGTTATTGTAATCACAGGCCCTGCTCAGAATGGTGAAATACTGCATGATTTTGAAAGTTTTTAACCAGGGGAGGTTAAAATCATTTACCCCCCCCCCCCCCCCTTGGTTAAGGACCTGGATCATGAGCCCTGATTTCACAGTCTAACGTTCCAACTGATTTTATACTCCCTAAGATCCCAATGATCTGAAATGTAACTTAATTGCAGTTGCTTGTACAATGTCATGTTCTTATAGGATAGGGTTTACACAGAATCATATCTCATGTTAAGAGGTATATGAAGTTTGGCTCTTGTAAAGGGTAGTGACCAATTACTACCATTTCCAATAGTTGGGCAAACAAATGAGTTCTCAAACCTGTGCAAAAAAACGTTGGAGCCTTGAAAAGAATAAAAAATATTGTGAGGCATATTTTCTAAAAACCTAGGGCTATTTTGGAAAAGCTGGCAGGTGTTTACCAAATTTGATCAGAATTTTGGGGGGTTGTCCATGTCTTTACTGAAACTCCCCGTACACTACATGAAATGACTCTTAGGGAAATTTTAGGAAATTTTGACGGGGTTCACACGAACACGTCGAATCTCCAGCTAACAGAGGTGTTCCATATAATAACAGGTTCCATTGTACCATTCAAAAGATGACCATTAAATTGACACTGTGTAAGATTTTCAGAATTTTTTGATGGCTGGTTTAGAGAAACATTGTTCAAAAAGTTTGCCATATCGATACCCATCCTTTCTACTTTATCTACTTTAGTTGGGTAAATACTGGGGTTAAATAGCTAAAGTTGAACATCCACATCCTCCAAATGAATGCGATTGAAAATATATGTCAACAAGTGACATTTTTTTGCCTTGCAGAACAATGCTGAAGTTGCAGTAAAGGAAATGCTCCAAGAGATAGCCAGGAAGACGAAAGAAAGGACAGGAACAACGACTCTATCGGCCACTGATCATATGGACGATGGTTCACAGATTACGCTCAACATAAATATTGATGCCACCGAGGTGAGGCAATATCCCAACTCTATAGGGCTATATGAAAGAATGGGGGTAGGGGGGAGGGGCATTGGAAATCTAGTTTCAAGCGGCTTAGGTTCACCATTATAGGAGACACAGCCTGCACAATCCATCATTAGAAAATAGAGATTGTTTCCCAGACTTTGTTATCCCATCGAACAAAGTTCAGAGGGATATAGGGAATGCCTCCGTCCGCACGTACGTATGTTCTTCCTTCCATCCGTCTGGTCAATAACTCAAATACCGTTGGCCCGATTTTGTTCATATTTATACACGTGTGCCCTGTGGGAGTGGGAGTTCTGCTCGAAAGCCGATTTTCAAAATGGCCACTCGTTTCAAAATGATGGCCATTTTAGTACCCATTTTACAGTTATTTAGATACAGTATATAAAACCGAAATAGCAATGTGTGTTAAATGTAAAAAAGTTATATAGGACATTAAAAAAGCTAGACATGTAAATATTTAACACATGGCAGTCAACTTGAAAAATTGCAGTTTTTACACGCTATTTTACAATTTTTGCTATAACTTGAAAAGTAGTGGAGCGATATTGTTCATATTTGATATTTGACCACTTATTAGCATGGCACACTGTTTTATGACACTTTGGCTAGAATGCAGTCATTTTGAAAATGGCCGCCATTTTGCAAGCGTTATTTTACATTTTTCACTAAAACTCAAAAAGTAATTGAGCGATTTTGTTCATATTTGATATGTGAATACTCATAAGCATAATTCACTGTCTTATGATAATTTGGTTAGTGAGCGACCATTTTGAAAATGGTTGCCATTTTTACTTGTTTTATTTAGTGTGCCTTGATCCTACGTTTGAAAATTGAAATTCGCTCACAATTTCTTATATCATCAGGTAAACTATTCCAAGATTTCTCGAACCTTTTACTTATGTTTAAAGGAATATTTTTTCTCTGAAAGCTCTTGGAGTTTGAGTTGGAATATTTCTGCAACCATTGAAAACCTGACTTACATATGGTGCTATTAAATTATGCCTGCTTTTGAAAAGAAAAGTACATAAATGACATTTTCTTCTATCTGGTAACTTTGTCCAATTTAAAATATCTAATACCTTCTCAGTAGAGGTGTGAATTTTTAATCGATCATCGATTAATTGATCGACACAAGTTTAATCGATTAAGATTTTTAATACTCAATTAACTGATCTTAAAAAGATAATCTTCAATATCCTGCTGTGAGTAAGCTTACTTGATTTCACTGACTGATTGAGACCTGATTTGTCAGGTTGACATGCCAAGCTTAAAACTCAAACTGCCAAACAAGCTTAGCCTAAGCCCGACGGTTACCTCTTTTTTGTGTTTCACTGATACATCTTATATTGATATATACTCGTATATATTAAATAGAGGTATGCAATCAAATCAAACGAATGAATTATCGCCTAGTACTAAAGAATTAGAAAATTGAAGGGAAATTATGTCAGATCTCCATCGTTTATGTTAGAATGATTAATCGATGATTAATCGATTAAAATATTTTGTTAATCGATTAAGTGATTTACCAACAGTGCACACCTCTACTTCTTAGTGTTGGAGCCAAACGAAGCGCCAGTTATCAAGCAAGCTGCATTATATTGAAGTCTGTTTAACTTAATCAAAGATAATTCAGGAGCACTAGAATATAAGATATCACCATAGTCAATTCGACTCAAAATAAAGGCATTATAAATGGTTTCTAAGTGTTTAGATCTTAAAACATGAGTCAACCTTTTAAAAGGGTTTAGCAAAGCTTTAGACTGTTTTATTAATTCATTTATATGCTCTTTAAAGGTTAGTTTTTGATCTAAAGTGATATCCAGGTGCTTATGGGTATTTTATGGTCTTTTATGCTTATGGTCATTAATGAAGACTAACATACCCATAAAATTATATTAAGAATGATTTGCATAGCCAAACTTAAATGCACTGAATGACCTTAGTTTAAATTCCAATGACCTAATTTTTTTTGGATATGTTCATAAATATATTGATAAAAGTTACTATTTCTATATTATTTTTAATGAAACCTTTGGGGGCATCTTTAGGTACATGGGGCAGGCCCGTAGCCAGGATTTGCCAAGGGGGGGTTCACTTTTTGGAAAATTCCAGGGGGGGTTCACTTTTGACAATTTTGGTACAAAAAGGGCCAAAATCACTTAGAAAGTGCTCAGAATGGTGAAAAACTGCATGATTTTGAAAGAATTTTTGGCCAGGGGGGGGGGGGGGTTCGCATGGTTCGGGCTATGGGCCTGTGGGGTAATGGATCCTTTGAATCCTCTTAGATAATTTTTAAAAGTGACCCCCCCCCATTGGCAAAACCTGGCTAGGGACACATAAGCCTCATACTACCAGGGTTTCACTAGAATTTCTCGCAACAGGTTAAGTAAATGAAAGATCACCTGTTGCCTGTTGCTAATGAAACCCCTGTATTACTAGTTTACTAGTTCATATTGGTAATCCAAGATGCATACATGTATGCCATAACCCTGGGCTATCTGATCCTTTGAATATTTCTAGATTCTTTTTAAAAGTAACTCCCCCCCCCCATTGGCAAAACTGGCTAGGGGCACATAAGCCTCATACTAGTTTACAAATTCATACTGTGTAATCCAAGATGCTTATGACATAACTCTGGTTATCTGGTTCAAACATTTGAATATTAAATTTGCACCAACCCAACAACTTACCCTTTCTTATATTGTATAGCATGAAAGTTAATACAGGATATTAGGCTTTTGAGATATGTACTTATATAATAGCTGGAATAAAATACTGCAATAAGTATGATAAGTATCAGTGTTCCTAATGCATATTTTGTTTACAAATAGATAAATAAACAGTATCTTGTTTAAAAAGTGTATATTTTTGTCAACGTTTAGAACTTTCATGCAAGGGTCATTTCCTGTTCACAAGTGCACTGTCTGCTGTATCTCATTACAATACAGCATAGTTGTTTCAAAGTGAACATGGAAATTAGATTTGCTCTAATTTGATGTTTAATCTCATGTCTTTCCTTTGATGTGACATGGTTAAATGTAGGATGTATGAAAAGATGAACATACTTTGGGATTCTGTGTGACCAGAGACACATAATAAATACTAAGCAAAAACCACTAATTAACGATATTCACCGTGCTCAAGTCTTAACAATGGAAATTGTTCAGGACGTGTTTTGTAAGAACATGGAATACAACATTCATTAGAATGGAGCAAAAAGGTAAGAATATTTTATATTTCACAAACTAATAATACTTGACTTCTACCTAAGATGTTCTTCATACCCACGTATCTATTTTGGTGATCATTCCATCATACTTCATAGTAATCGCAATTATGTACCAAAAATGCCAGAAATATGTACTAAATTTGCATTTGGTGTTATTAAATTAAGTTTAAACAGACTATCCATTCAACAACGTGGAATAATATTCACTTCTCTAAAGATGGTGTTTTAACTATCTTTATCTTAAAATTGCCATAAATGACTGTAAATGTAGAAAGTGGAGTTAACGATGGAGAAGGGATATCCTTGGACACATACAAAAAGTTAAATCCATAAAAATATTTGGTCAATTGCTACTTATTTAAGCTCTTTTAATTAGTGGTTTTCGCACATATTGTGAGTACTTTCCTTATGAATCGTTGTATTCATTGAATACATGGCAGGCTAGTGATTTTCAGGCATAAATATGTGTAACACTGCCAGAATCGCATTTTTCGATTAAACAAGGCTATAGCATAAGATTCATGCAAATAACACATTTGCAGATACCTGAAGTTAGGATATATATTATGGTTAGCAATATAAATTACTTACATTTACATAAAGTCAAGTGACAGCAATTTCATAACTAAATTTATCAACCTACCTCTCAAATTTTCCAAAAAACATGTCTTAATCGGTTGAAAAAAACACGTCCAGGACAATATCCACTGTTAGCACTTGGTCACTGTGATATTAAGAGAGAAATAAATCGGGAGTAAACCTCTCTAAATGTCTCTGGTGTGACAGCATCGGATTTGTGACTATATTTGGATATACTTTAGAACTGTTGGAATTTGAAGATTACATAAAGTTATGGAACATTTAGCCCATAGATGACATTTAAAGTATCACTTTTGGATGCAATGTAGGATATATCTTCACCTTTCAATATTGCAGGACATTTGCAGCTACAGTAAAACCTGAGCCAACCTGTATACCCAACTGTGGTACACCCAAACATCTCTTTTAAGGTCAGGGTGCACTTTGATGAGATTTCATGTCCATGTGCTATTTTTTAGATAAACATAACTCATTCCACACATCATATACATCTTTCGTTCCTGCACAAAAGATGCATTAGTGTAACTAGACTATCAATTGAGGGTTGATGATTCTTCAGAATGTTTGAATAACTAGAATATTCAGTGGTTTACTTTTCAAAATTGCAAAAAGATTCCAACATGTACCCTGGCCTTATCTGAACATTTCTCAATGAGAACATTTTTTCAGTTCCATTTTCAATCTGCCATAGACTGCCATTACTATCAGTCTAAGTATCTTAAATAAGAATTCAGAGCTTGTCATTACAACCAGAAATATGAGCTGAGTGGGACTGTGCAGAGAACATTACCCAGTTTACAGTTTGAGCTCTGTTTTCTCGTATTCTCCAGATATGCCAGTCCAGTGACTTTATGAGGGTTACTGTAAAACATGTTAAATTCGCGAGCATCTTGAATTCGCGTATATTCGCGTGAGTGTTAAATCGCGAATTCAGGATCCCGCGAATTCAAAATTGGACATCACATTTTTTTCCTGGGTAACGTGAATGAAGAATAAAATATACTACTTGTAAGTAATATACAATATTTTTAAATGTGTTTTGTTCCTCTTATTCAAGCGTTGTATGCAATTATAAAACAAGCGTGAAAACAATGTCAAAATTCAAACGTCATGTTGAAATATATTTGTCTATTGAAATACTGCATGCTATGTTTTAAACAATAAAACAATTGTTCTTTATGAAGTTAGTTAAAAACAAAGTTTGGTAGATAAAGTAATGTGTTAAGAAATCGTCATAGTAATAATTTAAGTTGAGGTGAAATGTTGAAATCATTCTTTCCCCTAGGACTTGATTCCTCCATACACACAATTCCAATGAATGGGTATTAACTCATGGCAAGCAAGTTTGTAAGATTATTTCTAACTTATCATGAGTTTTATTTTCAATCGAAAAACAACAGGTGGCAATCTGTCTTATTTATTAACAAGATAATACCCTGAGATACAACCAATTAGAATATTAATCCAAAACAATCATATCTTACACTAAATATTTCCGAAACAGGTTTTATTCCTTATCACATTTCAATGCAGTTTGACAATTAACTTTGTTAACATTTATTTTACAACACAGAATTGATTTATTATTCGCGTATTGTGGTGGTAAATCGCGAAAACATGAATACGCGAAAAGAATCATATGTACAAATTCGTGAAAATTGCACCCGCGAATTTAAAGTGTTTTACAGTATTACAGGGGCAGAACTGGGAACCAACAAGGAGGGGCCAAAATTTAAGGCCCTTTTTCTTCAAAATTTGGCCTTATATTAAATAAATGGCCTTAAAAGGTCCAATTGTGGCCAAAGAGGTCTACTTTGTGGGCCCCAAGGCCTTTTTGGGCCCAATTTTTTTCTAGGTCCCCCCTTCCAGATCCGCCAGTGTATGATATCAACTCATCAATGAAAATGATATCACTCAAAATGATCTGATATATGCAGATTTACCAATAAACAGAATTAAATTTGTTTTTTCCAGGGAACAGCTGTGGTTGATTTTACTGGTACTGGGTATGAGGTACATGGCAACTGTAATGCTCCACGTGCAGTGACACTCTCAGCCCTCATCTACTGCCTCAGGTGCATGGTGGGACATGATGTCCCTTTAAACCAGGTAAGTCTGTATAACTTCTTAAGTGCATTGTGGGAAATTACATCCCTCTGAATATATCTTTATACCTTGGACATGGCATCTCATTAACCAAGTGCATTTGTCACTTCTCAGGTGCATTGTGGGAGATGATGTCCCTTTAAACCAGGTAGGTCTGTATAACTTATTTGGTGCATTGTGGGAAATTACATCCCTATGTTTTTATACCTTGGACATGGAATCTCTCTTAACCAAGTATATTTGTCATTTCTCAGGTGCATTATGGGATATGATGTACTTCTCCACGATTTATGTCATGTACGTGATGGGCTGGGACATGGAGTGCCTTTTAACCCGAAATATCTGAAGTGCATTGTGGGATGTGACAGTCCTATATATTTTAATAGTTACATTATGGGACAAGATGTCACTCAAAGTTGGTCTCCAAAAAATTCTCAAAACCTGTTCCAAATGCCCAACTTAACTTTCTTATTAAAGATTTAGAATTTTTTTTTAGTAAAGTTGGATCAGCACTTCTTAAATTTTTAGGGGGCTTATTAGAATGGTGAAATGGAACCTTCAATTCAGTCAGACACAGTATATTTATCGCCAGAAAGTTTCTCGCAAAATCTGGCTACCTGGTCCATACCCCCCCCCTCCCCCTCCCTTGCAGAGCCAATAGTCACATAACATGACATGAGCAGAAGCATTATTGGATGCCATATTAGACAAATTTATGTTAATGTTTAGATAAGTTCTTAACTCAATCAAAACAATTCTAGATTAAGTGTTATTATCTCAGTCTATAATGTCACAAGTCACTTGTAATTAAAGATAATTAGCCAATTAAAGTGTCAAAAGATAAGATGTAATCAAAGATTAGTATCTATCAAATTGCAGGGTTACAACCTTTCAAGGTATTTTTCCTTAGGGTTTTTTGTCTAAATTCTCATTTTCACAATTTTGCCATCATTGTCAACTCTTATGCCTATATCAGTGATCAGGCATTCTGATACATCATAGGCGTAGCCAGGGGGGGAGGGGGTGATGGGTGCTTTAGAATGCTTTTTATTTGAAGGTTCTAGCTCAATTTTGAAGGAAATTGCAACAATTTTGTGAAATTCAAAATAAATTTTATTTTTGGCTTGTTTATGCCACTGTCGCACCCCCCTGACTGAAAACCGAAAATATTTTGGTGATCGCAATGTTTTTGTTATTGTTACTGTATAAGAAGACAGTTGCAATTTTTCATACAATGTTCACAATGATTGTATTCGGTAAAATATGTTTCATTAGGTTGAAATTGCCCCTCAAGGTAGTTGCTATTTTTCTTTAGATCAACATTTTTAAGTTTTGGTTTTATTTGCATTCATTATAAAACATTAACAGATTATAGTTTGATTATACTAGTAGTTATCCCAACGAACAAAGTTCTGTAGGGATATAGTGAAGCCGTCAGTCCGTCAGTCCATCAGTCAGTCCGTCTGTCCGGAAGATAACTCGAATACAAGTGGACAGATTTTCTCCATATTTGGTGAAAAGATGTATATTGGTGAATAGTTTTACGCTAAAAATTTTTTTTCAAGATGGCCGCCAGTTTGAAAATGGCGGGAATTTTTCACAAAAATCTTATGTTTTTCATTTCAAACTAAAATGATGAATATTATTAATTGAAATTTTGGTAGTATATTAACAACATCTATCTATTTCATATATATCCTGGGTGTTTCACCCTGACTCCCAGGGGCCGTAAATTGGGGATCGGGAAAACAGGAATTTGCGTTAATTTTGAGATGTCTTTGAAGTATAGCTTTATTATACTCAAATGAAAGGCAGTTTAGAGGAGATTGTAAATATTGTAGCGTTTTTTTGATTTGGGCCTCAAAAAATTCAAAATGGCTGCCTAATGCGGGATTTCGCAATTATTTTCTAATCTCTTAAAAGTATGGCTATATTATACTCAAATTGAAGGTATTTCAGAGTAGATCACAATTATGGCATTGTTTTTCTGATTTTCACCTCTGAAAATTCAAAATGGCTGACTAGAGCAGAAATTCGCAATTACTTAGAGTTATCCTGAAAGTATGGTTACATGATACTACAATGATTTAAAATATTTATTGAAGGTAAGAGTAGATAGTAAATATTACATTGTGGCTGTACAGATTGATGATTTATATAATGTTCTTTGGGATTTGCTACTCCGTGGAGTTGCCATTTTCTAGTTTGAAATGCTTAGAATGCACCATATACAATTGTCAATTTTAAAACATTTACGGGGGTGAACCCCCGTATCCCCCTTTTGGGTTTCCTTCGCTCGCAGTGATGCAAACCCCAAAAGTTGCACCCCCTTGACACTTGTTGGCTATGCCCCCTGTACATGTATGTTTACCTTTGGCCTTATGCAATGTAAATATGTAAAATTGAGAATATAATGTTCAGGAATAAATTGGTGAATAAGACGGCCAAAGTCATGAGAAATGGTACTAAAGGACTAACCCAAAATGTTTCATAATAAGTCTTGCCTTTTAAATGCCTGGAAATGTCAGGGAAGTTCATTTTGAAAAAGGTGAACGAATTCGAACCCTGTTGATGGTATTTTATACATATCATGTTTCACATCTATCTGATAATTGCACCATATGGTCCCATATGTTACATATTGTTGTGATACATTGTACATGGATGATATGTTTCATTGTTGAACTTATTGGCAAGCAAATTGAAAAGGTGAATTTAAGTTTAAATCTAGGAATTGAAATTAAAATCAGTGAAGTTGATGCTGAACCTTTACTTGGAGTGACAGGTTTTCAGAGTGACAAGAAAATCTGTCACAAAATTTTTCTGAAAGCTTGTTACGCCCCTGAGTCATATGTAATCCCGGGGGGGTTCACTCCAATATACTTCTTGATACCTATGTGTCGCTCCAAAGACCCCATTTTTGAGCATTTTTCCATGTCAATTTCCTCTCAAGATTGAAGTTTTCCATGTTTAATTCCTCTGAGACTTATAATTGACTAAAAAATCAACTTTTCTAGTGATTTGTTCCAGGCCTTAACAACTGATTTGACGATTTTAGTACAATTCTTTTGAAGAAAGACTGAAATTTGACTTAAAAAGGTACTTCCCTCGACAATTTTCCATGTTTTTTTTCCTTTTAGATTGGCCAATTTCCATGTTTTATGCTCAAAGACAAAATTGGCCGTGCTGCACATACCTACCCAAATTATTTGGAGTGACCCCCCCCCCCCAGGTATGTAATACCATACCTGGATGGATGGATCAAGATGCTGTATACCTTAGACAGTGAGATTTTATAAATTCACCAATATTGATATCATGTGCAATGTGAAGCTGCTGGTTAAGTGTCCATTAATGCTGCCATTAACAGGATTAATGACATTTTAATGAATGCTACATGAGGACAGTTTTGAAAATAATTCACATTCTATATACAGCAGTGACATCTGTACTATTATTCTTGCATCAAGACTGTGGACCCCACCCCTTTATCTACTTATAAAACACATTACATATAAAGAAGATTGGAGGGGGGGGGGTCGGAATATTGAAAACATCTGTTAATGGCCTTTAATACACAAGTTTTGCATATCCCCTCCCACTCATCCTTGGTCCAAGGGTATTTCACTTCTTTCCATGATTGAAGAATAAATAAAGCTGTTTGAATGAAAGATATCCTACTACTTCTAAAACTACATACCTTCTCACACAAGGGGGTGTGTATTGGGGGGGGGGCTCACAAGGACTTGTAGCTAGCCTAGAATGCAAAATAGAAATACGACTTCAAAAATATGGTTCCAAACTTTTCTGTTTTTTGGGGGTTTTTTAGTCGTTATGGTTCATCTTTACCACTACCATTTGAAATTGGTGTGATCACTTTGTATAGTGTGTAAATGTAGTACTCTTACAGCATTCAACTACAAAGATTCAGACCCTCAGAACAATAGACCAATGATTCTTTTCATGATAAGTTACATAATGTTAATTAATCATAACAGCCCATCTCCAAGGAATCACAAAGGTTGCCTTTGGATTATTGTTTTTATGGCTGTAATTAAGAAATTTTGTTAATGTTTATTGATAATATTAAGAGATAATTATTAATTCTGCCAGTTATGTTGACACCAGTGTTGTTTTAAGGTTGACAACTGTTGCAAATGTTTATTCAATGATTTTAAGTCATAGAGATTACTGCTTCAGACACCAGTTATGTTGTGTTGTTTTAAGGTATTACATCTGAGGCTTGTCATGAGAACAGAATTCACAAGGCATTCACTGTTGTAATCATCTAGGCAATCATTGTGTACTTAAATAGCCAATTATTGGTGAGCTTATTGGCCAATAGGAAAGTGACAAATTAGAGCTAGGTAAAATACAATCACTAAAACCAGTGGCATGAAATCATAGAATTCCAAAGGCATCCACTCGTGTAGTTATCTAGCCAATTACAAGATAGCAAATTGGCCAATAGGAAGACTTGTCTTATCATAGTAACAAAGGATTGCTAGGTAAAATACAATCAGTAAAACCAGTGTATTCAGTCATTTGGAATATTCAGATGGATCAGGTTAGGTCAGTCATTCAGAATCATCAGTGTGAAATATCAAGTATATAATAGCAAGTGATAAATCACTAATTTTGGATAGGGATGATATTAGGGATGATATCGGGATTAGATGGATGATATGGATATTAACCCAGGTATTTATTCAATATTTTTGCATTTTCAAAAAATCCATTACTTCAAAAATTTTCATTTTTTCAAAATTTTCATTTTTCAAAAAAAATTCATTTTTCATAAATTTTTCTTATTCAACAGAGGATTTTAGGTAGATATTGCTCTTGACCATAATGGTATAAGGTCGTTATTCTCTGGTGAATAACTTCTTTATATCCACTAATGTTTTTATAGTCAAAACAGAAATGTTTGTGACTACTTTGAATTTAAAAAATAAGCAATCAAATGACCATATTGAAACAGTTTATGTAAAAATAAAAACTTATTTATCCTAACTTTTGTATATTTTAGTTTGTTTTGAAGTTTAGCTATCATATCTGTGTCCTCTTATATTTTGATACTTCTCTGCCATGTTATTTTCGTAAAAATTAACATGGCTGAAACTCCCTTAATTACAACAGGCCACAGCTTTGCTGCACATTATACATTACTAGAGTAGATTTCATGGCCTGACTTCGTCGGTAGAACTTGAAAAATAAGATTTTCCTGAAGATTAGGAGTCTTACTTACCCTCTAGAGGTTAGAACACACATTTTAATGAAACCTTATCACCTTTGTTGCGTCAACTATAGAGCATTCAGCACAATATCAAAGAGGTAAATTATGGATCGTGAAAATGAATGATTTCCTAGTAAGTTCCAGAAGTTTCAATACGATAAATTACCGAACATTTGTGAAAATTGAATCTTTGTTCGTTGATTTTATAATTTACACGTGCGTGTATTCGTCTACACTTTGGTCAAAATTATAAAACATCACAAACAGGTCCTAGAATATTAATAGACTAATACAGCAGACGACATATTCATACTTTCCGCGCAGCATTTCATTCAGACCAATAGTTGAACTTTTTCTATCTTAGAACAGGCCATTCTCCTCTACCCTGTCCTAAACTCATCTGCAAAAGAGACCACAAAACATTCTTTTCTAATATTTTTATTATTGTTACATTAGACATGGTTGGATGATATGTCACAAAATTAAAGTTCAAGGTCAATACATTATTTCGTAATAGAGGCAACGTCGTCCCGGAAGTAAACACGAGGAAAATGGAAAAGTCCAAGAAGCATTAACACAAATTTCAATCAAGTACTGTGCTTATGCTTCATCATGAACAAAACATAGCTGATATGGTTTCATTAAAATGTGTGTTCTAACCTCTAGAGGGTAAGTAAAACTCCCAATCTTCAGGTAAATCTTATTTTTCAAGTTATACCGACAAAGTCAGGCCATGAAATCTACTCTATCTGAAATATACAAAAATTAGGATAAATATAAATGTTTCTATTTTTACATAAACTGTTTCAATATGGTCATTTGATTGCTTATTTTTTAAATTCAAAGTAGTCACAAACATTTCTGTTTTGACTGTATATGGCAATCAATTGTTTGCATACTTTTGTGAACTAATTGAATGGAATCATGTATAAAAACAAATATGTTCTCAAATGAACTTACTTTCAGGGAAATTTGTTCATGGAAAAAGAAGGATACATTCCGCTCATTAGAGCAAAAAAGACTAATAAACGCTTGTATGATCTTGTAGGGTTGCCTGAAGCCTGTACATGTCATCATACCCAAGGGATGTATGCTGGACCCTTCAGAACATGCGGCTGTAGTGGGAGGAAATGTACTGACCTCACAGAGAATCGTAGATGTCATCTTAAAGGCATTTGGCGTGTGTGCAGCATCACAGGTGAGACCCTTTAATCTTTTCATATTTCAGATAGTCCCTTTGATGTTTTATCTGTGTGTAATGATCACAGTATTTCTACATTTTACTACAAAGGTTATTTTAACTCCAACTTTGACAAAATGTTGGAGTTACTTATTTTTTTATTTTTTTTATATTGTTAAGGTAAGTGAGAAATGTGATTGAACTTCTTCAATATCACACGATTTTAGTTGATGAACAAGTCCATCAGCTGTAGTTCAATAAGTGTTTACTGGTTTTGCTATTATTGTACAAGTCAACGAAGAATTTTTTTCAAAAAGTGTGTCCTTACAAAAAACGTGTCACCCATTACCAGCCTTTTTTGAGGTATAACTTCATTTTAAAAGCTTTTTTTCACTGAACCCCTACCTTTAGGTTAATTTTGTCCACTGATTGTTTTTATCAACACAATAAAAGGTCAGTAATATATCATGCCAATGTTACATTTGTTACTAGTTATAAACTGACACTTAAAGGCAGGGCTCCGCTATAAAAGCAGAATGTCAGTTGAAAGATTATGTACTATCATGCTTGAAAGTTTAAATGTCCAGAGAAACTAGCACCTCAAACGAGTTTTTCCACATATCTCTAGTATCTGGATCCCTTATTATGATATACCTAATTTTTTGGTAATGAGGATCTGTTCTGCATCTTGATTGTGGATCACAATCATCATGAATATTTTTAAAATGGCACAATATATTATCCAGCCCATCATGTTGTTGGGCTTCAATGTTGTTACAATTTTTCAGAGCCCAGTGAAACTGTTTTTGCACTGGGATGACTTTGTCCGAGAGTTCCATGTGCCAAATCTGCCCATGATTATACTGTGTGCCCTTTCCTTCTTTCTCTATTTCCTTTAGGGATTTACCACCATGCCATGTGTCATTTTGATTCGTTGTACCATCTCGTTCCCATACAAATTTATTGACAGATTGGTTCGCATCATGTTCGTGGACTTTTATATTAATCATGCTTTGCGAGACATCCTTCAATAACATTACAGAAGCTGTAGGTAGAAAATGTATATTCTTCGCTACATAATTCTATGTTCACCTGTATTTCAGATGTTGATACAGTAGGACCAACTTTAACATTGTGAACACTCTGTGAAAAATAAAGAGTTAATTCCTCCAGAATGTCTTTGTCTAATACTGTCGCAATATGCTTTAGATTTCCTCTGACATAGACTGAGTTTTGTAGTTTGGCAACTTGCAATCTTTCCTTATTGTTTTTTATATCTTCCTTTATTTTATTTGTAAGAGAGTTTCCTATCTTCTTGGCTTCCTGGCAGTTTGCATAGAATTCCCACTTTCTCTGCAGTATATCCTCATAGGCATCGAGATTGATCGGCTTAGTTACATAATATTTACAAAATTAATACTCGAAAATACATATTCTTTTCCAATGTTCCTTTGAGAATTTATTTCTGTAATGATTCTGTTGTAACGAGTTTTCTCTCGCTGTTGTTATAAAGGGGCTTTTTATACTAAAATTTTTAACTTTTGCTTGGCAATTCGTGATGAGGATCGTTTGAAGAACTAGCTTACTCGGAAGTATGAAGAAACAAATAAAGTCGCTAAAGGATAAGAATATGATTTGAACTTAACATGAACGATTCTGAAATAATAATACTATATATATGTCAATAAAAAGAAAACAACCTTTTTAAATAATACAATGTTATTTATTCTCCATCTCCTAAAATACGGGAGAGGATTAAAAATTCCAATACGCAATTACAATCAAAACCCGAGTAAAGACAATTTGGAGTACTATTTGAATTATTGTCGAAAACTCAAAAACTTTATTCCATTCGTGATATAATTTGAACTGTTGATATCAATACTATAATAATATGTTAATGCATTGATATTGCGATAATAAGATAATGTAATAATATAAAATCATGAGATCGATGCCGCTGAAACCTCTTTTGTGATTTTACATGAACTTGATAGCGCGAATAAAAAGATGAGCAAAATAAAGTCAAATTATTCTGATTTTATTCAAGGTTTCAGAATAAAAAATAATTAAATAAATAAATTATCAATAAGTGCGCGATCCGTAAATGATACTTAACTTTGTAATTGTATTCAAGAATTTTTACATTCAAAAGTTCAAGATGATTTTTCAAGTTCTTATCAAATGTTTAAGTCTTCAAAATCTCCCTCAAATGTTTTCCCCAACTCTCACCTTCAAAATGTTTCCTCAAAAATGTTCCCTCAAATCTTTCCTTCCAAGTTTTCCTCCTAAGTTGTTCCCTCAAATCTTTCCTTCCAAGTTTTCCTCCTAAGTTGTTCTCCCCAGTTCTTCCTTCCGTTCCCAGAATTAAACCCCCTATTTATTTTATTATCTGCTGGTTTTGACCATTGGTCGCAAATTTTAATGTTTGAAGTGACAAATTTTGTGCATTTTGCACAGCTACACTAGTCACATTGTTGACCTCATCATTTATTATTGTTAGATTCTGCTTTTTTGTAACGGCACAATGTTATCTTCCTCCCACATAAACCCCTAGGTTATGGATGTCAAATGTTGGCATTTATATTATTGGTAAATTGATGGAAGGCTTTTTATTTTGAATATGAAATATAATTGGTCAGATATTAATATGTGTAATTTGAAATGGTAAACAAAATATGTACGTAGCCTGAAGCATTTTGTCTGATTCAACAATGTTTAATGATGTTGAACAGAGTGAGCAATGAACAGTTGATTTAAATCGTTTAGTGAATCATAACATGAATGCAAAAAGTAAAATTAAAAAGTAAAAGAATAAATTAATGATATATGATTGTTTTTTATTAGTTTTTACTATTTTGGTCCCCAAAATGTTTTTAATAACGGTGTTGTAAAATATAAAAGATGTAAAACATGCCGTCATTAATCAATCTTTCTTAATATCACTCCTGATGCAAATATAGAGCATTTGATTATAATGGAGCTTTATGAGAAAGATGGAAAATGTCAATTTAATGTCAACTGACTAATATAACGCCAGGTTGATTATGGTGACATCAATTGACATAATGATAACAATGTTTTTTGTTTTGTTTTTTAATTTATTGATATTTATTAAATGAACATCATGAAAAATAATCGCATTGCATTATGTTATTGAAAATTAAACGATTTCTAAAGTAACTGTAGTTAAATGAGTAATTGCTACGCATTGTTTGAGTAGTGTATGATTGCAATTCATGTATGTTATGAATTAAACAAGATATTCCCTTTTCCCGAATAGAGACAACGTTTAGATATTTGAGAATACCTTGTTTTTATAAAAACATTTTAAATTACCATAAATGAAAAATTTGAAACGCGATATATATACATAAAATTAAAATGTGAATGTATACAAGCGACATTGATCTCATGAAAAAAACACTTTCTAATTGTTTTATTTTATCTTATATATACTAATGGAATGTTATTTGTTTTGTGGTGTTGGCAGGAAGCACTAATGTTATTTTTATTATCTGCTGGTTTTGACCGTTGGTTGCAAATTTTAACACCTAACAATGTCACTACTTTACATGTTCTTTCACTTTGATCAAGTTTGATTTCATGAACATGTCTTTTAATTGATCTCAATAAGTTCGATTTTCTTAATTTTTTCGCTCATTCTGAATCCTCTAAATTTGTTTTAAGCCTGTTGAAAAGATCATCCAAGAGAATATATTTTTTGCTTTGATACTCTAATATTTTAAAATATTTCTGAAGACACATTGTAACATTTTGGTCCTAGCATATCAATCTCCTATACATATCACCTGGACCTATCGATTGTGTAACTTGTGTAATTATACTCCTAACATGCAGGTACTGTACATGTGTTTATACATGTATGTTATCTCTGCTTTACCATGCATATAATCATTGCAACAAATACAAAAGAAAACAAAAAATATGCCTTAATAAGTTAAAACATACATTGTGCTATTTTAAGCCTCGTTGTTTTCATATGTAATTATGCATTACACATTTGCATGACATAAAAAATATTTTCTTTTGCTTCTTTGAAAGCATTATATCAGATGAGTAAAAAGTATTTTCTAAACAAGAATGTTAGAGTTTTTTGGGAATTTTATTTTATCAATAAATAAATTGCAATAGTTAACATTTTGATAATTATTTGGAATGCATACTGTATGTATTGATTTCATTTGTCTAAATCTTGATTAATTTCTTTCACAGATAGATTCAGTAAGTCAAGGTATTAGTCCATGTGTCCCCCCCCCTCCCACTACTTTACAAAACACCTTTTCACATAATTACTGTAATTATGAATAATAGTCTTAGATTCTGTCTGCGGAGTGATAACTGATTTTCACATTACAAATAACCAGGGAGATGTACAAACAAAATGTATACTGTTTAATTACAATACTTAAAGTGTTTACAATGGACTTATATACAGAAACAGTCACATGCTTGATATGGTCAAATGAAATAAAATATTTTCTCTTTGCAAATGATATTATATATGTGTAAATTGGTAAAGATAACTGAACAGTTAACCAAAATGAATCACATATATATGTACACATACATGTATATAAATTGTGTTGCAATGTGCAATAGCCATATCAGTGCCTTATCTACCTGATTTACTCTGGTCACGCTTACTCTATTCAAACCAAACACAATACCTGTCAAAGTTGAATAGATCAATAAGATGTTGTACTGGCTTTTCTCCCCCACGGTAAGCCCTCCCTTGAGGAATTTAATAAAAACGATTTGCCCGGGGATCGTGATGTTATCGGTTACTCGCAAACAGACCCAAATACTATCAATATTGTAATTTATGAATTCCCCAAAATATTGGAATATGTATCTCAAATAATTATAACAGACGTATTAATTAATAATCAGAACAAATAATTTATTTATTGTTCACAAAGTGTAAGGCAAGTACGTATATTCCAACAGCTTTGGAATTCATTTTATAAATAATACGGTTACTGACTAAGTTATCA